GAACGCCTAGGCTCATTATTAAAATAATTAACTTTATTTTTATTTAATTATCTAATTTTTACTATTGTTGAATTAAATTTGAGCATTCTTAGTCCCCTGCTTTCATAACTCCTTCCATTATTATCAATACCTATTACTCTATTACTATAATTAATTATTTCTTTTTTCGGGATTAAAATTAATTATTTCAAACACATGCAAAAAAAGTAAACAAGAAAATTTGATCTTAAATTACTCATAGCTCCCAGATTAAAAAAAATACAGAACTAAATCTCATTTAATATATTTAGAAATTTAATTCACAAATAAAACCAGAGAAGTATATTAAATTATTAATCATGTTTTTGAAATAGGGACCCAATTGTAAAGTGTGAATAATTTGTTAACAAGAAACTCCGAATGCTATTATCCTAATTAAAACTATCTGCGTAATTACTAATTAGGCAGTGTAATAAAGTGGGATATATGGAAAGGCCATTGTAAAGGGAGGGGCTGGGCACGTGGTGTATGCCATGAAAGACAACTTACCACTCCGGTGATTATTATATATCAGTGAGAACATTAAATATATGAAATTTTTTATAGATGCTCTTGTTAACAAAAGTATTAAAGATTATTATATTTTCCTCACTTATCTATTTATTTATATTATAATTAAGTAGAAAAGAATCAAAAGTAAAATATCAAAAAAGACACAACTGACAAATAAAAAGATCAAAATTTCTCCCCCTAGATGACAAATAACAACGACAACGGTGGTGCGTCAGTAATCTTTCAAGTGAACAAAGTTTTAAAAAGAAAAAAAAACAATAGTAGTACTCTATTTTTTAGGGGTTATTTGAAAGCCCCAAAAAGTCTTTTGTAAAATTATCTCTCTACAAATCAAGACAAAATTTTTTTTTATATACTTATTATCCAAACATTCTCTTACTTATTATTATTATTATTATTATTATTATTATTCGTTTTGCCGTTTTGGTGACCAAAGAAAAAATATAAATATATTATAAATAAATAAAAAAGGAGTACTCGTATGTCAGAGCACAGCACAGAGTTGTTGTAACTTGTACAGCAGCTATTCAAAATATAATAACAATAATAATAATAATAAAAGCATTTTCAAATTCCAAGATAGATACTTGGTCAAAAAAAAAAAAAAATCCAAGACAGATAAGATGGAAAATACCCCATTCCCCCTCGTGGGTAAGGTGACATCTATGCTTATGCAAGCATGACCTTTCAACCCCTCGTGCGTGTAATTACCTTTCATGATATACGGAAATTACATCCAACCAAAGAATACAAAAGCGAAAATAACCAAGGATTTGTGTACAATAGTTATTTTAATCATTATTTATAAAATACAAAATAAATATATAAACAGATTTTTGTCTCAAATCATATAAAAATATTTATATTAAGCTGCTTCAAACAAGCAAAATAATATTAATAATAAGTAAATTATGTTTAGAATAGAAATTGAATTTAACGAAGGATGGTTTTGGAGATTTATATTAATTTTTTAAGAACGAGTAAGATTTTTTTAATATTTCTAACTGTTTTCACAAATCGGTACAATTTTGTTAAAAATACTTAATAAGAAAAGCGAGAAGAGTTTATCAATTGATTTGTCTTTTGTCGTAAGAGGGAGTCATGGGGTGTCAGCTAAACCCAATTTAAATTTTCAGCCGATGCTAAAGAATTTAATTAAAATAAATAAATGAAAAATTAATTTCATTTAACAAAAATTTACATTCATCCGGGTTTTTTATTTTTGGGGAAGAACAATGTTGGATGAAAAGTAATACTACCTCCCGTCCCAATTATAAGAGCTAGTTGATTAATTTGAAGAGATTAAGAAAATAAGTTAAGTTAGTTATTTGTTATAAATAGATGTTTTTTCTAAAATATCTTTGCTAATCAAGTGTATTAGCTAGAACTACCATTATTAGAAAAACTATCTTGAAAAAAATACATAAATATAAGAGATAAAGTGGATTGAGATCTTATATTTAAGACTAAAATAAAAGCTAAACAATATCTCATATTAAAGACCGGAGGTAGTATTTTTTTAAAATATAAATAGTTCTTCTATGCAGACGATTCCCTTCAAACCCAAACAAGAGATTAATGGTGGGTTTGTTCGATTTGGTTTGAAGAATGCGTACGTGGCCAGGGTTAAATTCAAGATGAGGACATTATATACATCGTATTATGATATAAAAGAGTAATTTTATGTTATTTAAGTCATTAAAACCAAAGTAAGAGGTTGTAATTTGGTTCTCATTTGTCAAAGAAATTGGCGAACTTGAACTATAGTTGTTGGGCGATTGTAACAATTAAAATGGCCTTTAAACAACCTGTCTTCCCTGGATATTCTAGGAGAGATGCTCAACAGCAACAAATCAATCTGGGGAACTTTCAATTAAATAACTAATTAATAAGCTCCATAAAATTGATATTTAAAGACCTAACAACTTTAAAAATGAAATTTCTGAGAAATTATTAAATTAATCACCCCAATGCTTTTCAAAATTATTATCATATATAATATCTTAACATATAGCTAATCTTTTTTTAAGTCACAAAAAGTATTTATATTTGTATTTTTTGCAGGCATGTAAATTTGTGATTTTACAGAAAAAAATTTGACTATTTTGGAAAAATCCAAAAATAATAATTAATGGTGATTATTCATCAAATTTTGATTTTTAAAATTACTGAAATAATATTCCTTAACATCTTTGAGCTGAACTTCTCTCAAATATGGGACGCCTCTTCTTCAACAAAAATTCTAGCTGCTAAATAAAAATCATTTAAACTTAGAACTCTTTGATAGCTTTTGAAATAAAAAACAAAGGGAAAAAGAAAAAGGGGGGGGGGACACCTTATATGAATACCTCTATATTGATTTGTTTGGCGTGAATCAAATGACAACTAGGTCAACCAATGATATATAATTATCTTGTTAATTAGTTGATTATGATCGTGATTCATTAATGGTGTGATCCACCTATGAATTGCACTTACAGGTAATTCTATTGCATTATGAAAAGACCACAAAAAATTTCGACGTTGTCCCTTTTGATGACTCTGTGTGTGTATGCGTGCATGTTAGTGTTAACAAATATAAGAACTCTAGATTCCATAACCTCCTTTTTTTCTCTCCCTATTTTCCCTCTTATTTCCGTATGTTCCTTAATTATTATTTTCTCACTTGATTGGGCAAAACGTGCTGGGGCATTATAATATTTTATAAAATTCGGAACACTAAATACTTATATATTATTACGCCCTTCGATCCTTGATAATATTTTATTACATTTAAACTATTACGTTTTAATAAATAATATGGCGCTTACAAATATTTTTTTTATGTAAAAATAACTTGCTTGGCCAACATTTTAATGTAAAATGAACATAATTAATAAATCTATCAAAATTAAGTGTAATGCTCTGACTCACATAGGATTCGAACAGAAAGGCAAGAAAATTCAACCCCTCTCACGTCTAATTTTTCTCTGTTTTTGGGAAAGCCAAGTTTTTAGAACACTACAACAAACGAATCCTCTTTTATGGGAATTCGTGTTGCATCTTAACCACAATTAAATTATTATGTTAAAAGTAATGCTCCTTCCATTTTTTGTAGGAGACCCAGTTTTGAGAGATCTGGTGTTCATTCATAAGATACTCCATTTTGCAATTTTAGAAAGAATTAGAACATGCTTTCAAATATATCTCTAATGCATGATTTTTTTTTTTGCCAAGCTCTAATAGATGATTAAACTATAATAACAAAGCTTTGAAACAGCGTAAATCATTGCATTTAATATGGGTATAATTAAAAAGAAAAAAAGAGGCACCAATTAACTACTTTTTTAGTATTCGTAGATTTCAAAATTACTCACCTGGTCCTATCGAAATAAATTGTCATTCACCAAAAAAAGGCAAAGAAAGTTTTTTTTTTATCCCCAATACATATCACTTTAAATTTATTATATGACTATACAGTTTTATTCCTAATTTATTATTCTGTGCACTATTATTTAAGAAATGCATATATTAAGATAAAATTAATAGGTTTAAGGTATTTTGATTCCGGTAAAATATATTGGAAGTAGTTAATATACTAATAGGATTAGAGACATAAACTTTATATAATTAAAAACGACAAACAGTGCAAATAAAGAAATGATCAAAGCAAAATGCCAGAATGTGAGTTAATTTCCTGCTGTAATGATGTACTATGTGTAAATGGAAGTTTAGTTAACGAGCACTCTTCGAAGAAGAAACAAAACAAGAGCAGTTGAAGAGATTAATGATCCCATGTTTAATAGTAATTATTATGGTTTTCACTTTCTTTCTTTTTTTCCTCGTGTATTTAATGAACCCCGCTTGAATTATTTGAGGACATGTCATAAATGAAGTAATGCAAAATGTCCAGAGCTCGCCACCCAAAAGATCAAAGTTCCCACCACCTTTCAAACTTTCTCTTCATAGGGTCCACCTCCCTCCATTACCATTTAACTAGCCTACATTCCTCACTCCTCCACTTATTTTGTACTGCTCTTATTTTATTTATAAGATGAAAAATGCGCTTTTTTTTAAATCATATAATTAATCAGGAAATTAAAAAAAAGTCATATCATTAAACTTTTCACGTGAACATGTAATTGTGCCCTTTAATCATTATTCTTTTCCCCCCATATTCAGCTATTATTTATAGGAATAAAACATTTGATATATAATATATTTATTACAAAATAGAGTTAAAATAAAAAAAATCAAATTTAAGATTTTTTTTCTCTCAATTTCTGTAGAACACAGTTAAAGTGTCTTAATAGAATGATGAAAATACATGTTCTCACCTACTTTCATTTTCCGTGTCTCTCTCATCTGCCCTGTCAAACAAATTAAACCATCATCGGACGTGTACCAACACAAAATCTACTTCCGACACCCAAACTATATGCTACCATATTGCTACGAAAAAACAAACACACGCACAAAATCATGGATCTTATTCTTAAAGCCATATCAAAGTTTTTTAGGCATATATGTATAGCAGAAATTAACATCACATGTGATGTGATAATGTACAACATAAAGTAATTGAAGTTGCTGATAAAAAGATTACTAGGACCCTGTTTGGCCTTGATGAGCTAAATTAACCATGAAGAACTAGTATAGGTGGATATAATTTACCAATTCTACAGTTTCATTTATTTGTTCTTCCACATGGTGGCTAGCTCTGCGATGTACCTAGTGGAGCTTCCATTCCCGGAAAGAGTCTTATCTGCAGCTTCCTTCAGATCCTTCATTCTGTAACGAAGCTTCTTGCCTTCTTCGCCTTCCATCAAATCCTTCACCACTCTGGCGATCTCGTGCCTCTCCACCAACCCACTCTCGCTGGCCTTAGGCCTCAGCGCCACTTTCACGTCCTGCGTCACCATCACCGCGTTCATCCTCTGTTCTGCGTACAGAGGCCAAGCCACCAGCGGCACGCCGTTCACCACGCTTTCCAAGATGGAGTTCCAGCCACAGTGGGTCAAGAACCCACCGGTGGAGCCGTGTCCGAGGACTTGTGCCTGGGGGGCCCACGACGGCACCACGAAGCCTCGCCCTTTGGTTCTTCCCACGAACCCTTTGGGCAGGAAGCCGCAAGGGTCTGTTTGGCTCTCCGCGTTGAAGAAATTCGCGTTTGTGGTTGCGTCGTTGGGGCTTCTCACTACCCACAAGAACCTCTGCTCGCTCATTTCTAGCCCCAGGGCGAGCTCGTTGATTTGAGCCGTCGAGAGGGTCCCACCGCTGCCGAAGGAGACGAATAGGACGCTGCCGTGTGGCTGCTCGTCTAGCCATTTCAGACAGTCGCACCCCTCGATTTGACTCTGAGCATTGCCCATGTTCACCAGCGGTCCGATTGGGTAAAGCGGAGGCCTATGGGAACCCGGTTCGTTCTTTTGGAGGGTCTTTATGGCCCCCGGTTCGAGCTCCGTGAAGCTGTTTTCTATGATCCCCTCCGCCAGGTGGTACCTTTTGCTGTGGTGGAGGAGCCATTTGTAGGCATCGTTCTTCCTGTCCTGAACCGGGTCCAGGAGATCTCTTCCGTGAACGGGGATGCACCCGGGGATTCTCACCGGTTCATCGAGCTCCCTGTACTCGCATTGAACCGCTTCGTCTAATTTAGGAAGGTGGAGGAACAAGGACAGGGCCATGGTGGTAGATGGGAAGAAGAGAAAAGGAGAGACACCGAATTCTCGGGCGACTTCGAATGCGTCGGTGCCAAAGAGGTCGACGGTGGCCGCGGTGAGGCGATGAGCTGCAGAGAGCGAGCGGAAGGCGTCGCGGAGAGAAGGGAGGGAGCGGACAACGACGAGGGAGATGATCGTTTCGATCTTGGTACCGTCCGGGAGGTCGGGGAGGGAGACAGGAGGAAGAAAGGTGTGGGTGATGGAAGACGGAAGGCCGCGGAAGACGGTTTTCTGGGGCTTGGAGGGAGGGCCGTCCAGGGGGATGACGAAGGCGACGGCGAGGCCGTGAACGACGAGTCGTTTGGCGAATTCTATCATGGGAATGAGATGGCCCATGCCTGGGCTGGGAATCATGACCACCGTAGGTGGCTTGGGAGTGAGAGATGGAGAGTGTTCCATGGAAGCTGCGAGGTATACGAGGAAAACGCTGAAGCTATGAGATGGTCTTTGGATGATATTGCAGAACCGAGGAAGAAAAGAGAGGTATTTATATAAAAGAGGCTTGTGGTGGCGGGTTGGCTTTTGAATGATCGGTCCGTGTGTGCATGTATTTTAGTGGAATATATTTCTCCCCACTAATTATCTGGCAGCATGAATAGTACAAATTATATACTCTTCACGCTGTTATGTATTTCGATTTTGTCCAAGATAGTTGTATGCCTTTGACTTTTTTTTTTTTTTAAAAAAAAAGAATGTTTGTGGAGTGTTTCACAAAAACAATGAGTATCACCCAAGAACATTCGTCAAAATATTCAGTTCTGTATTAAATATACAAAAATAGTTTTGTCTTGTAAAATGTAAAGATGATTATTTCAAGTGAAGGGAAACAAGCATTTTGGTAAAGCATGATATACAGGTTGAGAAATAGTTAGTAAGATGGTGGCATTTGGATGAATTTAACTGTATGGTTGTTTCAAACTATTTGAATGATTTTTTTAATTTCTGCCAAAAAAACTAACTGAATAGTTAAAATCCAGCAAAAAAATGGAAAAAGAATATAATTGAAAATTCGATCAATACAACTGATAACCAGATATGATTTAGGAATAGGAGAGTGTTAGTGATGTTCAAAACTTGGTCCATGACATGTTCATGAGAAAACCAGAAGGAGTACTAGATGGTTGTTGTGTGGGAAGGTGCGTGTTTGTGTAAATGTATATATAAAAATGGGTTTGAATGTTGGTTTGAAAAAGATGGTTGGAATGATGTGCGTGGGAGAGTGGATATTTCAATAATTGGGAACACTGGGGAATGAAAGGGCGTAATGTATCTAGAAGCAATAAATAGAAGGTGGCAGTTTTATTTATTTTAATTATTTATTATTTATGAGATGACGTCACGTGAACGTGTGGCTATTGTCATCGAAAGTAGACCTCCTTCTTCTCCTTCTTCCTCCTTTTCTGCGATAATAATTCTACAATCCACCACTACAGTAGCAGTGTTTCTGAGGATCTTCCCTCTTCGCTCTTATCCTAATTCCTCTCACTCTTGCGCTTTTTCACAGCTTCATGCTGTTTTTTTAGATTCTTCCCATCATTACTCTTCTGTCTTTTTTTTTTTTTTAGTTTACTTCACCCTTTTTTTTGTTTTTCTCATTATTCACATCCATGATATTACTTCCGATCCTAATTACAAGAGCTAGTTGACTAATTTGACGAGATTAAGAAAATAAATTAAGTTAATTATTTGTAATAAATAGGTGTTATTTTTTCTAAAATATCCTTACTAATCAAGTGTATTGGCTTAAACTATAATTATTAGAAGGATTATATTGAAAAAAAAAATTATATAAATATGAGAGAACAAATGGATTGAGATTTTATATTTAGAACCAAAATAAAATTAAACAATATCTTATATAATAACAGGAGGTAATATCACACTTGTCCTACCAATCCCACAACTAGTAATTTTTGAGAGTTGGTAAGTCCCAGATATTATGTTCTTTGAGAATTTTTCAAAGTTTTCCTCTCTAGTATGGAAGAGGGGCAAGCTTCAGTTTCTTTTTATTATTTTTAATTCAGTTCAAGGCATAGGTGTCCCTTAAGTATTTCACCCTGTGTGACAGATGAAATTGGTGGCCAAAAAGAGAAAACATAAATAAATTTATTCATACCGTTCTAAAGAGGAAAGTGATGGATATGATGGGAGATAAGGATGAAAATAAAATTGTGATGATTGAAAGAATAATTGAAGACCATAATAAATATTATTACTTTTCATGTTCCTCGATTGATGTAAAGCCAGATATATACTGCAAAACAATAGTACTTTGATAACTTTGATAATTATTCAGACAGTATTTTCACAATGTGGGAATCTTCAAAGCCTCCCCTTAGGATATATCCTTTTCATTTTACAACCCCACATCCACTATGCTCTCTGTGTGGGTCTATACGTGTTAATATATAATTATATATACGCTAATATATGTATGTATGAACCTTTTTTGATTTTGCTGAGTACTTTATTTTATGGGTCCTTGCAATTCTGAGCTTGACCGTGTTTGTGGTGGCTCTTAGATTAACCCAGCTCATCAATCATTAACCCCACGTAACCTTTTTGAAAAGTAGATATAAATATGTGGCACACGTAATGTTCATATTCCAAATTGTTCATCTTGTCTAGCTGACATTAGTAACAAATCCTCCTTACAAAGTTTATCGATCGGTGAGAAAAACCGAACCACCTAAATTAAGAATATTAATATTTTATGTATGCAGAATTTATGGAATACCAATACTTTTTTGTGCGTAAAAGTTTATCAAGTTATTCTCATCAATAAAATTTTTGATAGAGAATTATTTGTACTGATTTTTCCTATTACTTATCTTTTCTTTTCGAGGATAGTTTATCATGTGTGTGTGTATATATATAGCTAAATTCAAAATCCAAAATCTTTAACCTAGTCTGACTAATGATTTTTTATGTGCTATTATAATATAAATTTATTGTAAAATTTAAAGCGATAACATTAAAAAAAATGTGTAACTTGTGTGGGTCACAATGACATATATACTTGCGTGTATAGTTTTTCAGGATTAGAAAATATTTGTCATAGTTTCATAATTGGTCTACGTAATAATTTAATTCAATGACACACTGTGTGATGAAAGAATGATGCAAAGAAAAAGCAGTTGAAGTACAAACTTATATAAAACAGTATTCTCTCCGTTGCTCATTTAAAAATTTTGATTTGGTCACAATCCTGAATATATATACTAATGGTTTCTTTCCTATAATATTCTTTTTTATTATATACACTAATGGTTTCTTGTCTATTGAAGAGGGGAAGGCAAAACCACAAAATGAGATAATGATGAAATATTTCAAGTGACGACAAAGGGGTATATATAATTAAGATGCCATCTAGATGGAGTAGATATAGTGTCATTGTCTAATTGATTAACGACATAATTATTTTACCCCTTTACCATCTGCATTAATTAAATATCCATTTACATATTAATTCATGTAATTAGCCCTTAATCTTTCCATACAATAAAAGACAACATTATTTTCGTCCAAGGCAAAAGACATCTTAATCTCACTACCATTTTTTCCACTATATTTCTAAGTAATTCAAATTAATCAATCTATATAGCATCTTCAAATTAAAAGCCCAAGAAAGCAATAATTTCCAGGTTAGGAAAATTCATTAAATAATGATATATTGCCGTCATTAAAATTCAAATCAGGATGCATTCAAGTAATAATGCATGCATGCAAGTATATGCTTATTCTTTGGAATTAGAATGTTCAAATTTGGGGACTTTTTTTTTTTCCCTATTTTTCAGAGTTTTATTACCCATTGATCTTTTTATTGTCAAACTCAGGTTATATCTGACTTTTATTCCTCATTCTTTTTTACATATTATTTGGATCATCATTTTTTAGGTTATAAGTTGATAGTTCTCAAACTACTACTCCGGTCCTAAATATAAGATTCCTTTTGTGGTATAAAGTCTTATAAAAATGGTCTTATATTTAGGATTTTATATCACAAAAGGAGTTTTATATTTAGGACTGGAGGAATGCTATTATTCTTCATTCTACTTATTTATAAATCAACACTAATATTCAATAAAAATTAAATAAGACATTAGTTTGTGTTAAATTAACTTGGACGGCTGCTAAAATAATATTAAAAAAACATGGTGTGTCGGATTGATGCACCCACCATACGGGCAAAAGCCCAAAACAAAATTGGACTTGATGATCCGAGTCTCCCAGAAGTCTCGTGGAAAAGACACAAACACTTTTTAATATTCCCCCGCATGTGATTTTAGAATTTAGGTTCAACATTTGACTTCAATATATTCTTAATTTTATTCATAACTACCATCTATATATTATCTCATCTCAAATTCTTGATTGAAAGTCTCACAATTATAAGTAAATTTAATATTATTGTACTCTGTACATGACCAGTGTCACTGTGTGCAAGGTTCTATTTAGCATTTACATTCATAATACCAAGTTTTTTTCAGTTAATTTGTGATAAAATAATTTTACGCAGGGTAATTGATTTTATTGATTTTCAAATTTTTTCCCAAGTACTTTTTATTAGGAGATACCACGATATTATCTACTCTTGGAAACAATTTAGGGGTTATTAAAACTCGATATAAAAGCATGTATTTATACACACAAATCATAAGCCAAATCCTTATGATGAATATTTATCCAAATATTGTTAAGTTGTACCATTGTATTAATTACGCAAAAGCATCATTGGATTAATTAATTGGGTGTTCAAGTTCAGTATGAACACTCAGTTGGAGAAAAAAAAAAGTTCAATATGAATACGTAAGAGGTTCATGAGCCAATCAATACATCAAAGTTTATAACAGATCAAGTTATTTAGTACAAATCAATAAAAAGATGTATTTCTCAGGTTCTATGCAATGAACAGAATATGTAGGAGCTGAATTGAGAAAAAAGTTATGCATCTAAAATAAGAATCTAATCTTAAAGTAAACGAAAAGATTCTCTTGGAAGTGGTAATATTTTTTGATGGCCATCAGGCATCAAAGAATACAAGTCACTCATAAAAGCGAATATATCGTGAAAACATAAATTTTCAATCACGGTTTTCATTTATTAAAACCTTTACAATTGTGAAAGACTGTGGGAACTGTTTTATCCCAAAATCCATACCACGTACCAGATTCATATAGAACATATATAATTAGATTCAGCACAGACTGATATAGACGTGGGACGTTTTTCATTGTTATTTTGCATTTTGCGACTTGATGTTTTGCTTCTGGAGATTACTGGGAAATCTGGTAGATTCGGCTTATCATGAAAGTGTCTAAACCAGAACGACACTAATGCTTGTGTGAATCGGTTATAAAGAGTCAATTACATGTTTTCGAATATAGGAGTTAAAATTAAAAGTTGAGTGACCAAAAGAAAAACCATAACCTGAAAAAAAGCCTAAGAGTTCACCAAACAAATTCTCATGGTCTCACTTCAAAACCTTGACACTGTGGTAATGTTATTTCTTTTGTTGTTCTGTAAACAAATCTGTAATTTGCAAGCTTTGTCTTCTATCACAATATACAGTTTAATGCAGAGTTACAATCTCTTGTTTCCAATCAGCATTGGCTATAAAACTTCCAAGCTGAATTCATGTTCAGGAAGAATCAATCAGTAGCACCCCGAACTGATAGATTCACAGACCTGGCAGATCCAAAAAGAACACCAGAGAACACTGATCTCTAAGCTCATCTTCCATTGACGACTATTTGCATGACCAGATCATTCCACGAATCAATTGGCCCTGGCAAGCACCAGTGCAAACAGTCATTCTGAACTTTTGCATTTCTGTCCTTAGCAAATGGCTGAAAGTGCCTGTACGGCCCTGGATGGCCATCTGGTCTCAATAGCGAGAGGCCAGTCAGGTCCAAAAGATTCAGACTTGTAGCACCATTAGCCTTGGCCTTAGCCTTGTGAAACTCTTTAAGCTCAATATTTCTCAGAATAATATCCAAATCTCTCAGACTTATTTGCCCCTCTTTGAAGGGCGTTGTCCTATTACAGTACCCTCCATTGTACCATTCTGCATTCTCAAAGTGATCTGGTGTGGTGGTTCTGAAGATTACAATAGGTTTGTGGCTGGAGTTGACAAGGAAGTTGAAAGCTACTTGTAGTGCTTTTCGGTAAGCATATTCAAATCCAAGCTCTTTTATGCTCTTGTTGGCACAGTAATGGCAGCCTGTGACTGCACCATTCTCATGGTTTACTGCAGTTCTGAGAAACCACTTGCCACCAGAAGTCACAACATAATCAAAACTTTCATACTGATCGATCCATTTTCTGTCGAGAACGTCAAGGTAGAGCTGTGCTTCAGCAGAGGAAACTCCATTAATGTCCTCAAATACGTCTGCTTTGACAAGAAATGGAGCCCAAACCACTGAGACTGTGACATTGTGAGCAGGGAATTTCCATATTCTGTTTTTGAATTCCTCATCGTGGTACACTTGGACAGCTGGTTCCACCTGCCGGACAAAATCACTGATGAAGCATGAATTAAGTACTTGATTAAGAATCAATTCAACCTTGCAGCCTCAATATAAGTCAGCATAGTACAGTAATAAAGAGTTTTTAAACTAAGAACAAATACCACTGTAGTTGAGACACTTAGAAGGAGGAGAGAATAAGAAAGAAGTATATCATTCACTGGACGCTGATTACATCTCTCAGGACCCCATTTTGTAGAGATATTGAGTATGTTCTCAAATTACCCTATCCTTAATTTCCCTTGCTAGTCCTAATTCCCATGCATCAGTAGTATTATACACTGGTTCATGATGTTCGTTCATGATCAGGCTCATTTCAATATTCGTTAAGGTCTGGTTTGTAGTATTCAACAGACAACATTAGAAAAGTTATTAATATTTGATGCATTCGAAGAGGTGTATAAAAGGGATATCGTGGCTATAAAGATGAAATGTGAGATCCATATCATTCTCTCCTTGCGTACGAAGCCAATGTGCAAACCATGACCGTACAATATGTCTTCCACATTTGGAATTTAAGAGTTGGGATACTAGTACTGACAAAGATACTAATTACAGAATTGCATGCAGAGAAACTTAGTTGGTGAGACATGACAATTTAATGCAAAACGAGTTTTACAGAACGGCTATAACCATTCTCCATGATCAGTGTGTTTAGACTATACAATCTGTACAAATTGTCAACTATTGACTTTGTTTCACACTCAGTAAAAACCTTGAACCTAATCATCTAATTACTCATACTCATCATGATTGGAAGATTTCTAGTGGATTCAAACAGGTTTTCTCTGAAATTTCTAAGACTAGGAAAAAGATGCACAAGTGCAAAAATAACTAAGCACAAGAAGGAAATTGTTTTAGGACAGTGGGGACTAAATGCACCTTTGAGAGAATGCAAAGCATAGATTGCACATGGTTGCGAGAGATGGAATCGCCAACGAAGGCCCATGATTTATCCCTCATAAGATTAAGAAATTTCTGTGGATTGAACTTTGGTAATTCACAATCATGTGGCCTCCAGCGCCAGTAAAGATAATCCATATCAGGTCGTCCATTCTTCATGCAATTTTGATAATCTTCAACCACATGGCAGCTCTCATTAGTGTACGCTGGACCATATGGGTACGGTACCCACTCTCCCACAGAAAGATCACATTTTGCTGCATCCAAATTTTCAAAAGGCAACTTATAAGTTCAGCAACAAAAAGTTACAGTTTCATATGGCTTTGAATAAGAAACAAGAAAGTTAGTACCATGATGCCAATAAAATACAAAGAATACTTTCTTTAGATGTTAATGTTTGAGATAGAGAGGGAATTAGAGGAAGGATTTATCAATGAAGGGAGGTAAATAATTCTAGCCAGAGACGACAAAAGTTTCAGCAGTTCAATTCTCTTAAGTTCTTTGTTGTAAATTTAGAATCCCAAAAGGATGTAGTAATAAATAAGATGCATTAATTAGATTTCCATCTTCATGCATATTTCGAAAAGAAAATCAGTTCCCGGAATCCCAAATAAGAACAGGAAGAAATGGGTCAATATGGTTTTCCATGACCATTGTTGAAGGTGAGAGATGGGATTAATTTTGCCGCTTTAAATCGCATTTCCTATTCATGCATGTCTTCTATGAACAACCCATTCACAAAAATTCTCTAAATTTTCCTTACCATTCTCAGCGGCTTGGCCCTCATTTCCAGGGGACTCTGCTTTTTCCTTCGAGAAAATAGAAGGTTTCTCTACCATTGATGATAATGAGATAGAATCAGAAACGAGAAGACGAAAAGCGAGACCCACAAGGAGAAGGGAAACAACGAACTTAACTAACACATGATGATTGTGTTTATGAACCGAAAATGGGTTCAAATCAGACCTCATTGCCTTCACCATCTGGGGCTGTTTGGTGATCCAGAAAATCAGAAAAAGGGCCAGCAAGAAAGAAAGAAAATAGAGGCCATCGAAAGTTTTAATCTTTTTCCCAGTTTTTCACTTTTTCTCAACTAACTAAACGATGTGCTCGACTGATTTTTCAGTACTCCTACGAGGAGAGAGGATGAGAAATAGATATAGCAATAGCCATCAGTATTATTATTATTAATTTTTTTTGGGGTAAGAGCCATCAGTATTATTTTAACATACTGAAATCATCAATAAATAAACAGTACACAATGATGTGTAATAGCATATATGTACGACTAGAGCCGGTAATATGGGCCAACCCGCCGATTATGGGTTGGTCCGTGGCGGGCCTGAAGCTTGGCGGGTTGGGCTTTTTAGGACCGTTTTTTGACGGGCTGGAATTTTTTCAACCCGGCCCACGAGGGGGAGTTGGCGGGTTAGGCCCGCCAACCCGCCAATTTTTTTTAATACTTTTTTTAATAAAACCTACTCAAATTCCTAAATACCTAAAATAAAACATGCAAATAGAAAGTATCATAAATAAAACATGGAACCCATCCAAAGTTCCAAGTTTCAACTTTCAGATATATCAAAATATTAAACATATGATTAAATGAACATGATATGTCCTTAATAATTTAACAAACATTTCAAATTAAAACATAAATCCAAATTAACACTACCACAAAGTCACAAACACAATGTCACTATACAAATCACTATCAAGTGCCCAATCATCACTCACGAGCTAGGGCAAAGGCGCAAAGCAAAGACAGAGAGCAGAGAGCTTGGGGCTTGGGACTTCGGACTTGGGAGTTAGGACTGGTCGAGGGCGATTGGGAGATTGGGTCTAGGAGGAGTGTGACACGCAAGCAAAATGTGAAATTGGGACCGTGTTGGTGTTGCCGTGTTAGACTATTAGACATGGACTACTCACTATTGCACTATGGATTAGGCTAAGAATGTAGAGACTGAGAGGCAAAGGAAAAAAATTTGCAAAAAAAAAAAAAGGTTAAATGGGTTGGCCCGCCAACCCTGCGGGTTAGCCCGCCGCGGGTCTGGGCTTGGTGGTTATGGGCTCAAAACTTCCATTTTAAAACGGTCCTAATTTTTATCAACCCAACCCGCCACTTGTTGGCGGGTTGGTGGGTTGAGCCCGCGGGCTCAACCCATATTACCGGCTCTATGTACGACCATGAACAAATGTGATCAGTAACAGATTACCGTATATGGCATTTATTATGAGTTAATTGTTCAAAAAAGTATGATTAAGTGAAAAGGCCAACACGCTGGTGACGCAGGCCTGCCATGAGCACAGAGGATGAAGAATAAATGTGGGACGGTGTCTGAGAGACTATACATAGCTCTGTTATTTTATTTCTCGTGAACTTAAAAAACAATGTCCCACGTGCTGCGTCCTCAGGATTTTGAATATGCAAATATTCACGAAAGAATAATTACGAGTCATTTCTTAAACAGTTCATGAACAACGTAATATTTTTCCCCATGTATGCATAGACATTCTTTTGTTGAAAGTACTTTTATTCGAAACACTATAGAGTAATAAATACAACCTATTCTGCTAAATTCAATTTTCGATGTTTAACAATGTAATATTTTTTTTGGGGGGAAATTAACAATTTAATATTCTAATATGTCTATATTATAGAAAAATTACCCCATTTTAATCCTCATGCCACAATTACTCAGGCCACTGCTTGTGACTTACCACCACCTCCTTTAATTCATTTCAATCAGCAGTGTACTGCAAGCCCAGCATCAACATGCTCCCCGAATCTTCATTGAAGTGCGTGCATGAATATTATCACAACGATTTTTTATTCAGAAAATTTTTTTTTTCCCTCCTGCGGACCTTTTTTATTTATCCTGATTTGATTTTTCATCCTGTTCTGGATTTCAAGATATAACCATCTGTTTCTAATTGCTGGCAAAAAAAAAAATTCATTTGTTTCTAATACTAATAACACATTAGATGGAGTGGGGGGTAATAAATAGAGGTAATTAAGATTTCAAATCATATGATATAAGTTGGTAAAAGAAAAGATAGTATTTCTCTGATCCTAAATAGAAAACCCTTTTTATAGTGTAATTTATACTGTAAAAAAAATCTTATATTTAAAAAAATTACACTACAAGAATATGATATAAAATCATTTGTTTGTGGAAACATTTCAATTAGTAGAGCCCTTGATAAAAGGAAAAGATACCGTATAAGTCATTAAATTTATTCAAAAATAAAAAATCAAAATTTATTCATATTTATAATCATAGATTACAACGAAGAAAAAAGGAAAAAAATTACGTCAAACTTTAAGCAGGGACAGTTTTCAATCCACTTAGTGACCGATTAAAGAACCCGGTAATAACAACAGGAGGAATTACAAAAATGATGATCAAATTGATTTACAAATTTTTTTTATAGATCCAATTACAATTACAAGACCCAGCACAGTTGTTTTTCCGTTTTCATAAAGCTGCCCGATAAAATCAACCCCAAAACTTTCAGATAAGTTTTTTCCTACTCTTCTTGGCAATATAAAAATCATAAATTTACAAATTTTACATCTCCGTTCTAAGAGCAAGCCATGCATGCACAGTCATCTCAAGCACAGCTCATGCAAAATTGTTTCCACAAACCAGTACAAACATGGAGAAAAAAATTTCTCCATGAGCATTATAAATACAATTATTTGCCCCTGCACTTGCATTACGCATTGGATCTGGGCAGTTTCATGCCAAATCCATGCTTCACTTTCTCCACCCTGTTAAATGATCAAGGATTCATTAATTTTCTGGGGAAAAAAGAGGTAAGAGGAAGAGAAACATTGGATTTATATATACTTACGTTGGTGCAAGTTTTCCGAGGCCGTCTAGCTCTTCGCCGGTGTCTTCATCATGGATTCTTCCGGAGATGTCGATGATGTAAGATCGATCTCTGGCAAGAGGAAGTCCTCTGCCAGCAAGCAAATCCAAATCTTTCTGGTGAAGTTCCCTACCGTTCACGAAAACGCCAGTTGTTCCGCCGGAACAATTTTCTGGCATAGGATAATTGAATTCTTCAATAGATGGCTGCAACAGAACTCCATATATTCAATTCTCTTGATCCAAACATAAAGCATACAGCCAAAGAACAATGTAATGTCGTCATAGCATCTTTCATAAAGAAAATAACATAAAGACTGGAAAGTGTATATAGGGAATCTTATTCTCTCTCTGTTTTTTTGTTTTTTTTTGTTTTCCCTCTCTCATCTCTCTGAAAGTTCCAACAAAGAGCTCTATGGAATCCGAACTCTTGAGTGTGACAGAAAAGAACTTACCATAATTATTCCAAGACAAGGACCGCCCATAACACCCCAAAATCCAGCATGGATATCGTACCTAATGAAACGATTGAACAAAGACGGGGAAATTAGTGCATTTCATAAGCAACCTGTATGAACTTTCTAACATGGCAAAAGCAAGGTTACGAGACTTGTGAATTCTATTTTGATGATCAGATTGTCAGTAAACAAATGAATGATTGCATTTGGCAAAGTAAATCATACTAACCAATAGTTTCCAGGCTGGATTGGTCCAGCAAGCTTTTCGGCCTTCTTAATCACACGATCAGGTATAGGGTGCCCATTTACAGTAACATTGCTGCTGCTGCGCTTATCTGTTTGATTAGATTTGGAGAAATCCCGGAGGCTTTTCTTGATGTTTGTGAAAAATGAGTCACCTCCCTTCTTAGATCTTGAATGACCATGCTCTTGGCTTGCATCACCTGAGTCCTGGGACACCCCAGTGTTGGAATAATCATGGACGTCCATCTCAGTCGCAGTTGCTCCTTCTTTCAAAGAATTTTGTCGCAGTGTAGTCTTGTCTGATTTCACCCTCTCCTGTTCTGAGCGACTACTTCGGTTTCCTTTTCCAAACCGGTTCACTGCATTATTATTATTACTGGAATAATCAAAATACTCTTGAAGAGGTGAGCCAGCAGGTGGGGGAGACAATGAGGTTTTAGTTGGCTGTTGAATGGACTTGGCGATCTCTCTCGAAGCAATAGCAGCCTCAGGACTATTTTCATCCTCAGAGGTACTCGGAGATGAAGAATGGTAACTGTGCATCTCTTGAGACTTGCTAGAGTTCAAGCTGGGGTCTCCAGGCAAAGAAGAAACAGGTTCTCTATCCACCGAGTGAAAATCATAACCAGAATAATCATCAGATGAGAAGTTAGCACCGTGAGAATGCGACATGCGGCTACTTGCGACCACATTCATGCTATCATCAACCCTAGGAGGGAGTCCTTTCACTTCTGAATGGGGAGAAATTACTAGTTTCTTATTGATGACGGCAAAGCTGATTTCAGAAGAGCATGCTCCACATTGCACCTTCTGCTGATGATTTTTCACCAACACTTTCTTAGGCAGCTGCAGAAGCTCAAAGCAATTATAACATGTGATGAATGGAGAACCACCAGCTATAGGGTGGCAACGCCTGCTAGCAGTAGCTAACATTACTTTTCGAGGCCGACTTCGGGGAGCCATTTCAGGGTTTAAATCACTGGCCCATCTTGAGTGTGACTGTGCCTCAGGGAAACTCACGGGAGGAATGGTAGATCTGGAATTATGAACATGTGGACCATATGTGCCCAAGATCTCATGACGGTATAACATAGGATCATTCATGTTATCAGGGTATCTGTTATTGATAAATGCAGCCGGTGGCACTGGTGCTGAAGCTCTTCGTTGGTTCTCATAGCAACGAAAACAGGAGCAAGAAGGCGGGTGAAGTGTTGTGTTATGCATATATGGATCATATGAATCAGGACTGGGATCCACATAACGTTTGGGGAAGTGCGGATGCAATGGTGGTTGTGGGAACTGATGGGACAAATTATGCGGACCTCTTCTCAGCATTTGAGAGGCATAAGGATCCCCATATCCAAAAATGTGATTTGGATTATGCATCGAAGGATGGAAGTTGGGCATTCCCATCATGTCTTGGCCATTTGGGTAAGCAAATGGATCATGATGGTAGTTGATATAAGAAGGGCCAGCCGTGTTGTGTTTATCGGGTCGGAGAAATTGCCCTGAAGTTCTGTTTAACCCAGATGCAGCATCAGGAAGCCAAGCGTCAGAGCCAACATAAGGATCTGGAGGAACCATCCTTCCATCTACTCCAGCCTTCTCTTTTGGGTTGTTAGAAACTTCGCAAGATTGAGTAAGCTGATCTTTGAGCTCATCCAGTTTCTTGAGAAGCTCAGCTCGATCTTGCTCAAGGTGCTGAACTGTGTCCATGGCGTTCATGTCCTTCTGGTTCCTCCATTGTTCCCCATAGGAGAAACTGGAATAATTGTTTGAAGTGCCCTCGTCTGGATAGTTTGTAGTGGAAAATCTCGCTCCTTCAACATCAGTTCTCAGCTTTCTCCAAAACCCCTCGTTTCTCCATCTCTCCCCATTTTGCCAATCAGACATTCTCCCAGAAAATTTGGACCGGGTTTCAGAATCCGTGTTATGAGGCTGAGATTCTTCTTGTTCTCTTCCTGTTGCTTTACCTGCTACATCTTTTTTCCTGTTCATGTCAAGACCATTCTCTGAGTCTCCCTTCTCAACGGAATCCTTGGATTGACTCGGCAATCTCTCATGTCCGTTATTATTCTCTTTGTCTGAATCCTTTGGGTTAATATGCCTTGGTGAGTCACTATTGGACTTAACATCAACATCTGAAGAATTTTCTGATTTCGCAGATTCTCCTACAATCTTTCCCTCATCAGATTTCTCCAACAAGCTACCACTTTCATTACCTTTATGCTTAGCTGCAAATAAATAAACAAAAAAACGAAACAAAGGCCATAGTGAGACAACAGAATATCCAATCCATCCATACCTCTTTTCACGTTTTAGTTCTTAGATTAGAAAATTATCCTGGCTTCACTCCATCCTTACATTTCAATATTTGGCTGATTCACCTTAAGCTAACCAAATACATATATATAAAAAGTCAATATAACGTGTACGCAATATCTTCCCAATCACGAAGCTAGAATCAAAAAGACGAATTTATTTCCCTTCAATTCAACTCGTGCAAAATTTGTGAGGCCAAAAATATAAAACACACAGTGGGAATAGAAAGAAGAAGAAGCAACTGATTTACTTCTAGCCATTGAATGTACAAAAATCCACATGTTGCAGATGAAGCATCTTGTTGATCATGAAGGTAGAAATTGAAAAAAAAAAATGCAGTTTTTTCCCTTAATTAAACCCACTCTGAAAAATTTTCGAAAACAAAAGAACACATAACACACACAAGAAGAAGAAGAAGGGGTACCTCGAAGAACGGCACCACAGCCACCGCATTGATAAAGAGAGTAATCAGCAAGCTCGGGAAGGAGATTATCGCACTTGGGACAGCGAACCAACCGAACCTTCGCCGATGCCGACATTGTACAGAAACAACGGAAACAGAGGGCTATACAAACACCATGACCAACGAACAAAGAAGAAGAAGCCTCCAAGATAGGACTTTCAAAGTACAAGAGAAATGAGAAAGAGTGCTTTTTTCCTTCTTCCTCAAAAGAGAAGGCTTGGCTTCTCGGAAGCAACAACGTTAGAAAACGAAGGGACGGAGGTAGTGGCACTGGTGGGGTGCCGTTAACAGGAGCTTTCGTTCAGAAAAGACGCAGAATAAGAGATTGGGAAGGAGAAAGAGAAAGAGAGATGGGAGGGGGGGAGAGAGAGAGCTCTTTTCTGCTTCTGCTTTTGCTTTTGCTGTGCTGTCCCTGCTTCTTCTTCTACTCTCTTTTTCTGGGCACCGTGGAATTTTCTCAGAAATTACAGACGAGCAAGAAAAATAAAAGCGGGGAAGGAGTAAGGAGGGAGAGAATCAAAGTGGGGACAAATTTCCCTGAGGAACTCACAAATTATGAAGAATTACAGAAAAATCCCAACTTTACTGGTTTATAATGGATGTCGGGCTTACGAGAAAGGGGATCGCTTCCCGAGGGAGTGGTGGTGGAAGGACAAGAAGGAAGAAGGAAAGTAAACAAAATAATTAGGAAGATAATGGGGCGAGGAGGAAGGGTATGGAGCGACGTCGTTTGATTGGCTGCGAAAGAGAAAAAGGTCAAGCAGGTGGTTAGTGGACGGCACCTTTAAACGACCAGGTTCAGCTGGTTGTGATTAGTGAATGGTTCGGTTTTTCTGATAATGCCACTCCTGCTCTACTCTTTCACACTGCCCCGCAACCAAGTCACACTGATGCTTCGTTGTCCTTTATTTGTTTCCGTTCATGTGCATTTGGGTTTATTTAGAATGATTTATAAATAATTTTTTAATTATGATTTAGTATGTAAAAGAAGTTTTTGTCTAAATTTATATGAAAGTGTTCAGAGCTACTTCTGCAATGTTGAACAAGCTTTTTATATCCTGTCTCACTAATGCTCCTGTACAATGCAATATTATTTAAAATAAATTTAAATTCTGCTTTTTGGGCCAGAATTTACTTTGACATGGAAAATATTTAGTATTATTTTGGGTTCTATTATTGATAATTTTTTTAGTTTTTACATTCTGAGAAATAATGATGGAATCAAAAGTCCAGGGAATGATTTTTTCTGTTAGGAGAGGCGGTAGAGGTTGAATGATATGCGTGATGGTGAGAGAGAAAAAAAGCAAGGCTTTGGCCGATGCGGGAAAAGAGAGAAGGCGCGTGAGGGAAAAACTCTGACAAAGTCCTGTTTGGATCAGTTCGCTTCTTTCGCTTCATGTTTATTGATGTGAATGGGGGAATACAGGACTTTTCATCGGTCCCACACGCTACCCGGCGCGTGTCCCTCTCTCCCTCCCCGTTTTTTCTTCTCTCTTTTATGCGACATCTTTTGTCTTTTGACTTTTGGACGTTACCACTATTTTCATATTTAAAAATTCTCAACCTGTAGCCTGTAAGGATCGGGTCCAACTGGTCGCAAACGGGAACGCAAGGCGCCTTTCCTATCATGTCATGGGCTCGATACCTGTCAGTACACCTGGGATTAGTCTGGCCGTTTGTGGCTGGGATACCTGAGGCAGCGATACCATCCTACTCAAAAAAAAATTCTCAACCTGTTCATTTATTTATTCCCAATTAAATTCCTGCACATCTTTCCCTATCAAATGAAAATAAATTACACATTTCTTAATGTATAATTTATATAATTTCTTAAACTTCAGATTTTTAAATTCATATGATAATAAAATAAGGTTAATATAATTTTTGGTCTCTTAAATTTATTTTTTATTTTAATTTTGATCTTTTAAGAAGTAAAATAATCTAAATTTTTATTAGATTATAAGAACTAATGTTTTAAATAAAAAATTAAGATACTAAAACCTATAATTTAAAAATTGAAAGATTAAAACTAAAATGAGTGTAAACTCTAAAGTTTGGTTTAACCCAGTGAAATAGTAAGGAACCTCCAACATTATTTAATGTGTATTTTTTTTTAAGTATGATTCAATTTATTCTATTCGCTGGCAAAAGAAATTATTCTGTTCATATATACATGTCTCGGGTTGAATCCGAGAGGCTATATTAGGAAACACGGACATTACATAGAGAATCTTACTTTACAGTTCCCCAGATTTGGGCAAAAGCAATTGATTACGGACAAATGAAACAACACAAATGATATTTTTTAAAAATGTAGAAAAATGAATAACAACAACAATTATCAAACAAAAGCAGCACAGAAACAATGAACAACATATTTATTTAAAAAGAGGAGGAGTGAAAGTTGAGGAAGAAAGGTAAAGAAGACAGAAGATACGAGTAAATAGGAAGTATAAAACTGGCAAGAAGCCGGTGGCAGTATTCTGAGTTTTTTCAACATTCAAAGGACAATGATGTCCTGAAAACTACGTTTCATGTGCTTCCCTTTCATTCAACCCCAATCGCCAGCCCATCTTCCATCAATGCGCTTCTTTTTGACCTTTTCTTTCTTTCTTTCTTTCTTAACATAAGGTGTTATTTAGCATTCTAATATTATTTTCTATGTGTATTTAATATCTTAATGTTATGTATGATATAGCTGGTCAAAAGGAAAAAGTTATGTATGATATATTTAATTTATTAATATTATTTTTCTGATACATCTAGTACTTTCTAATACTTATCTAGTCTTTAATATATGACCTCATTATTGAGTTGGTTTTATCCTAAATATAAGACACATTTCTCATATTTATCAATTTTCTCTAAATTACTCCTATGCATACTCCCTCAACTATAATCAAGTAGAAGAGGGAGACGAACTATTAAGAAAGATCATTATAGTGTTTTAGAAAAAACGCATCACATTTCTTATAGTTAACTAACTTACCTAACTTTCTTAATCTAATCAAATTTTTTTAAATGGGTTTTATATTAAGGATCGGAAGAGTATTATTTTTCAGTTATATTTAGCGTTCAAATTTTCTTGATAAAATTGCATTAAAGTCTCACCCATTAAATATAAAAAGTCTCTTGGAATTATAAAATTAATTTAAAATTTTGAGAGACCCATCATAAGAGATTTCAGTTATTCAGTTATTAAATTATCCTCATTTTTTAAAATACATTAACAACTGAAAAGGCAGTCATTAACAACTTAAAGTGTAATGATTACTAATTATCACGTTAGGTACATATTTTCTCAGCTCATTATAAAGATTTAATACAGTGGTTGTTAATAATTGCTATAATAATTATTAATCGTCACTCCTTAAGATGTTAATAACTATCTTTTTAGTTGCCAATGCTTATTAAAAAAACAAGGGTAATCTAGTAAGTAAACAAGTACAATCTCTTGAAATAACTAATAAGGTTTCTTGGAACTTCATATTAATTTGATGATTTCAAAAAACTTTTTTTCATTTGATTTTCTTGAATGAGACCTTTATGCAGTTTTCTCAATTTTACTTATGATTTAGGAGGACAAAAGCATTGTAGATAAAATTAAGGTGTTGGAAGTAAACAAACAAAAAATATAAAGCATGGCATGTATTGTAAATAAGATTATAATAATAGATGTATTTGAAAAATAATATCAGATCTGGACGCTGTTTTTTTTTTCAATTCTTTTAATAGCAAGACCAATAGAGATTAATCACATTAAAGTGCAATTCTAGAAAACGCTTTTTTAAGATACATAGTCATATCAGAATTGTCGTCATTAGCGTAACGGGCAAGCCCATCGGCACAGATAGCAGTTTACGTGGTCAAAAATAATAATTTAATTTGTTTTGGCATCAAATAACAAATCAACATCGTATGAGCACGAGTAATAAAAGCCTTTCATATCTGGATCATTTAAATCATACTTGAATAATTTATATTTAATTTATTTTTTATTTTTAAATAAAAATTATTTTTTAAAAAATTTATAGCTAATAAATTATATTTATTTTAGATCACATACCGAAACTATTCGGTATCATATAACGAGGTTTCTAATCTTACTAATGATCTTCCATTTTAATTCATAGTTACAGGGATCCAGTTGGGATAAAATTATTAAGTTGACTCCTACAAACCGCCAGGATATTATAAAGATTTTTAAGTTAGAGCTTGATTATGTTAGCTTCCAATCATGCATCCAATGTTACGATCTTTTCTTAATTCGGGGTTTGGCTGACCCGTTAACTTTAATGCGTGCGCTTCATGGGCGGGATTTCCAGCGTGGACGCTTATATCTCTCAATTCTAGCAGTTTCATTTAATTGCATAATTTACAAGTCTTTGATTACAAGCAAGACTTTCGTATTTACAAGTTAAATAGCTATACTTATAAGTCAAACCCGTAAAAAAAAAATTAAATTATTGTGACTTATTCGTATTTAATCTTCCTATTGTAGATCTATCAATAATTTTTCCTTCAAACAATTAGCTTATAGTTGAATTTTTAATTCTAGGCTGGCTTGCAAGTATTTTCTTTGAACTTTAAATAATCGGCGGACACTCTTTTTCTAATATTTTAACCTTCAAAATCTCACGAGACATTTTTGAACATTTGAACTTACACATACAAATGGCTCTTGACTTTTAGTTGATATGTTGCTTCGGCAATAAAACATAACAATTCAATGATTATTTTTCACAAATAGGCAATACGTTAGTGTTGATTCTATCTCAGGAAAAAAAAAAACCTTAAAGTTTAAATACATTTATGTAATTTTAATCCTTTTTCCTTCTGGAAAAAATCCTCCTCGAGAGAAAGAAATAAAACGCGTTTCTTAAATTTTACTTCACTCCCCCCGCTTGGTGTCTTTTTTAAAAAGAAAAAAAAATCCCAAGTTGTTATTTTTTTTTATATATCAGAATCCAAGCCTGTATAATAACTTTTACCCAAACCAATAAGACTGCTATCTTAACCATTGTATAAGATGCAATTATTATAATTGTAATTGGACCAAACGTCAGCAAAATTAGTTCACAAAAAATAGAGTTTGGTTAAAAAAAATGTTCACAAAATGGAGGCTTGATGGTTAAAGCAACACATAAATTTTTTTAATTGATTTGCTTGTGTTTTTTCGTTGGCCTGACAATTGATTTACTATTGAAGTGACCTTTTATGATTACTGATCTACTTCACTCACATTTTGCTCAATTAATGCTTAAAGTTAATCTTAAATTAGGGTCGCGACCAATACAAGCTAAGTCAGTCAAACCTCAAACATGATCCCAAGTCATTGCCATTGATTAGAATTAACCTTCTAATGGCCTGGAAATTGGATATATTCTATATATAAGATTTGGTCAACTCCAAACTTGCATTATATTAATATAAAGAAAAACTAAGAAACAAGTAAAACCACTATTATTTTAAGATCACATACTTAATTTTGAGCTGGAGTAGTACAGACGCTGCATCTCATGACCATTTCTTTGTGCTTTAGGATCTAGAGCAAACAAGGTTCTCATTTCATACAAAATAAAAGCGAATGATGACATAATGTTATTATATGTAGAGAGCTAAATAATTAATTTAAATATATCAAAAAAT